GAAGCTGAGAACAATAACAAATCAAGACAATGACAAAACAAATCAATGTCAATTAACGAGCAATGAGGCACCGCATTTTTCAACCCACGGGCTGAGGATTGCCGAGGAACCAGGTGACATCGCAGGAGATACAGTTCGACATGTATTTGTGAAACCTGTCGCCATATATGCCATATTTCAACTGACGAAAGCACGCCGCGGCAAACTTTAGTTGCCGGGCCACTGGAAGCGTCGCGACAATGCGTAAGGCCGGCCCAGTCTCATCAAGCTGTGCGTCTGCAAAAACCTCGTGCCTTAGTTGACATTGAATGAGTCACTGACGCGCCTATTTTTTGGGGCAAGTGTAATTGTTATTACGCCGACTGTCACAAAATTATGTCATAATTATTATGATACTGTCATTGTCGCGACGAATGCAACCTGAGGGCAGGATGGTGCGAAGGCCATTTGGCATATTGTGGGATGTCAAGACAGCCTCCTCATCGCCGATGTGTGGGGAAACTTGAGGCGGAGGTGGGTGAGCTCTCCACGGTGGAACGCAACCTGGTGGGCTGGTGGAACTGGTGGATGCCGCCTGTACTCGTCGTGCCTTAGACGGTGGCACTGGCTGGTCATCATCTGACTCGACCTCATAAACCTCAGCCTTGTCCTCTGTCTTGTCAGCATCGTCACGAACCAACCTTAGTTGCATTTTGTTATGATTACATGGCAATGAAGTTCGCAAAGAAGTTCAGACAACTTCAACTGCACACAAGCCAAGCGACGGCCAAGGCTTGCAGGTGTTTTCTTTCCAGAAGTTATCAAGGCATGCCCCCAACCAGTACACGTAGTCTGCTTCATTTCGCAGGTCCCGGTTCCGGCCAATGACCCTGAGCACGGTGTTCCGATAAAATGCCATTTGCCTTGGCTAGACAACTCTCAACCCGTCAGCTGTCAACTCAACCTATGTCTGGTTTTAAGACATTAAATTTTGCCTTCAAGGTACCGTGTCTGAAAAGAGTCACTGGAAGGTGACAAGAAGCTCTCACAGTCCTGGATGTCATGGGTCCAACTATCTGAGAGGGAGACGATGACAGGGCATACCCACACTCCGGTTTCCTCAACGGCTTGTCTAACGGGTCGCCAAAGAAGTGACAATCTGATCACAAACACTAACAGCACAAAGTTGACAATGACTGACAATGACGACACTGACAGTGTCCAAAGCACCCACAAGATGCTTGCGATCAGCATCACAAAGGCTCCAGTGCGATGATACCCAGCATTGCATGAAAGGAAGATCCTCAGGATATTCTCGTTGAATAAGTTCACGATCAACTGCACGACATCTTTGCATCGTCGGTGGCTGTAGACCTGCAACAAAAGCTGAAGCCACGGGCAAGAACACTCCCAGGACAATTTCTTTCAATTTCAACGTGCGTTTAAGATCGTTAAGCCCAGTCACTCCACGCCGCGTTTCGTGATGGGCGCAGCCGCTGTGACGGCCGCCCCAATAGTGGCCATCTTTGGTGTGGAAGAGGTGTTCTGCGAGGTCTATGTCGATTGTGGTCCAGTGATCCTTGAACTTTTTCCAGTAATGATGTGGCCTCGAGATTCTCCATCCGCAATCAAGGATCACATCAACCTCATCAGATGATGCTGATGCTGCTTTGTTGAAAGTTGGTCTCAAACAAACGCAAACAATTAAATTGAAACATACAAAAACTCAATGATGACGATATTCACGCCTGAGCCTTCTTGTCGTGTCGGGGCTTGGGTTTCCTAGCCCATCCAAAAATGATAACTTGCTGTGCCGGCGTTGACGACATGGCTTCACTCGGAGGAACTGTGCAAAAAGGCTAGTTCATCGTGGAAGAACAGTCAGTGTGTGTCATTAAAATGTCATTGAGTGCCACTTGCACTGCTTGAATGACTGAATGTCTTGAATGTCATTGCCAAACATCGTTCAGCCTCAAACATTTTGGCATGTGGTGAATGACAATGACAAAATCAAGGCACTCCAGAGTCAATGACAGCAAGTGGCCGAAGAGTCAAGCCGGCCTTTGTGAGGAGGAGGACGGGGCAGAACAGTCGTGCTCGTCAGAATCGGCCATGTTGAACACGCCTTGGCATCAAGGTGGCTCTGATGGAATCTGGCCATGGCAACTTACAGAACGCTTGTTATTATTCAGTCACTGACACTCTTTGCAAAGCGCCGCGACCGTAACTCCTGTCAAATGAAACTATATAATCACTGTATTATTATTGTCACATCCACTTAGCAAGCTTCAGCGTAACCGTTCTGCTTGTTTTGCAGTCCTGGTCCTGGAGGGTCCTGGTCTTCGCCCTGACATTGGAATTCCATGACATCAACTGACGGGAATGACAGGAATGAATATCTGGCCTGAGGAGGCTTCTCAATGAGTTTCATGGAGATGCTCAAAGTCTGGAACACCTGCATGGCCTGGCAATTGAGGTCAGAGACGAACAGAGCAGTACATGGAGGTCAGTGACAATTTCAAAAATAATAAACTAACATAATAAATTATACATGACAATTGTCCTCATCTTCGGTGATGTCTCGCTTCATCATGGACTCCACCAGCTGGATCGAGGTATCCAAGGTCACGTTGATTTTCTTCCTGGAGGTGTCGAATTAAGGAATGTGTGTGTCCAATGCGTGCGTCCAACGGCTGCGTCCTGACCAAGCTGACCACACACTTTTCGACCTTCTCGATGGCTTCGTGTAGATCCATCCGACCTGATCATCAATACTTAATGGATGCCAATGATGGCCAAGAGGGGATGTAGCTGAGGTCCAAGCACAAAATGACTGTGACTGGCACCAGGCAAGGACGGCTGCGGTGACAATGACTGACAAGGACAGCTGCGGTGACAATGACAAAGACAGCTGCGGTGACAACAATGACTGAGAAATCAAAAGCTTCCTATTCCTGTCGTGATTTATCCATGTCAAGACTTGGGTAAATCACGACGGGAAACTAACTTGCACCCAACTATTAAACTTAATGCCTGGACTTTTCAAAATAAATAAACCGAGAAATGAAAATTGATTTTAAACGTCGTGAAAATTTGGAACGACTCACGTCCTCATTTCCGGACTAAGTCAGAAAAAACTGGGAGGACTCAGGTTGAGTTGAAAAGCTGGCAGGTTGAGAAGCTGGGGGAAGGCATGTCACTGATCAATCACAGGTTGAGTTGACCAGACAAGCTGGCAGGCTCAGTCTGTTGAGTAGAGTCTGTTGCTGAGTAGCTGGGGGAAACAAAATCCCCCTTAACAGCCACCCAGAAGACGAAAAAACGGTCGGAAACCCGAGACATTCCGAGACGTTCCGGGGTCCTGGATTTTAGGCGTTGTGACTCGAGTTTCCGCTCGAAATTCGAAACAGATCGAGACATTCCGAGACATTCCGGGGCCCTGGATTTTCGGCGTTTTGATTCGAGTTTCCGCTCGACAGTTCGAAGCAGATTGAGCCACTCTGAGACGCCCCGGGTCCTTGAATTTTTCCATTTTATAGGATATACAGATATAAGCTCCCCGGTCAGAGTTTGCTTGGGCCGGGGGCATTCTCCGCTGTTCGCGGTTCGACCGCGCGATCGCTGCAGGCATTTTGGTGGATTAGCCTGCAGAACGGGAGTTGGCACCATGGCGAGCCAGGATGGGCAGCCGGACCGTATCAATTCGTGGCTGCACACAGGAGGCCGGCGGTCCTGCCGCCAAGCGTCTTCCTCGCGTCAAGCCTCCTCCCAGCGGTCCGGCCGCCAAGCACCCTCCCAACCCCGCCAGCCACCCCAGTTGCCGGCGTCGTTCCAGGCGTTGTCCTGTGCTGTGTCCCACCAGCGGCCCTGCCGCTGCCAAGCCGGCTCGTGCTCGGCCTCCTCCGCCCAGCGGCCCTGCCGCTGCCAGCTGGCCTCGTCCGCCCAGCGGTCCTGCCGCTCCTCCCAAGCCATGCGCGACGCGTCTCGAATTGCTCTGAACCAACACTTCTGCGCGTGCGTGCGGGTGGTGACTTTTTGTAATTTTGTATGTTATACGTTTTGCTAATTTTCGTCTTCAAAAATCGCACTTTCTCTGGAAAAAATAACTTCCAGTATATAACTTCCGGATATCTTCACGAAAAAATGAAAATCAATACTCTGAAAAACACCACTAAGTTATTAGTAAGTTATATCTTCACTATTACTTTAAAAGAAATCCATAACTTACTTATCCGGAACTTACGCAAGATATAGTGCTCTATAGTACACTATAGTGAACTAGTTCACTTTAACTTCAATAACTTCCGGGTCTCACCTTGTAGTAGTAGTAGTGGTGGTGTAGTAGTAGTAGTCGTAGTAGTAGTGGTAGTAGTAGTAGTATGTAGTAATAGTAGTAGTAGTAGCAGTGGTAGTAGTAGTAGTAGTAGTATTACTAGTAGTAGTAGTAGTAGTAGTCGTAGTAGAAGTAGTCGTGGTGGTAGTAGTAGTAGTATGTAGTAGTGGTGGTGGTAGTAGTAGTGGTAGTATGGGAGTAGTAGAAGTAGTATGGTAGTAGTATTAGTAGTAGTAGTAGTACTACTACTAGCTTTTGAAAGTCCGTAACACGGAAGTTTTGCACTCCAAACTTCCTTTGATCATGTCTGAATGTAATGCTTTACAGGAAAAATTGCTGAGATTGTGCTGGAGCTGGTGCTTAGCAAGAATTAGTTACACCTCAAAATTCCATTGATGGGCCAGTGGCAGTGGTCATTGCCTCCTACATCTCGTTAGCAAAGAAACACAATACACGGGGATGCATGGAAATGTCATGCGCCGGCAAAAGCCAGCCACCAACGGCTATGAAAGGGACCAAAGCCCAAAAGCCTGGTCAAATCCGGCTGGCAAAACAAATGCCCCAGAAGAGTCCATGAGATGTGAGCCCAATAGCAGGAGCTCACACTGACACTCACAAATTTCGGAAAAGCACCTGACTGGATTGAACAAATTTTCCAGGAAACAACGATCAAAGTCAGCCGAGTATCAATGTGAAATCCTCTGAATTGCAGGCCACACAAGCAAATCCGGGCATTCCATATGTCTGCGTCTCATCATAGACAGGTGAGAAGTAACCTTTCTTGCAACGACAGTCTTCCAATGCAACGGCTGGCGGCACAGACTCAGTGTTGTCCGGACATGCTTTGCACGCCGTCTGCCCCACCTGGAGACATGAAGTGCCCAAAAACTCCAAACATTGCGCGTACAATAGCAGCTGGAACCTATGTAAAACTACCTCGTATCACAAATCAATCGTTGTGCAATTCGTTCGCGGCTTGAAACTCATTTCCTCACTACCGCCACCTCGTCTTGATAGGAAGTCGATGGACAAAAAGTACAGCCTAATGGCCATTCGTCAGTGAAGCTTGTTGAATAAGTCCCTTTGGGGCACGGTTCGCATACATCAGTGTCCTGAGCACAAGAGACTGTAGGACTGTAGGAATTCCCAGATAAGCCCATAGTGGCACCCTGGGAGAATGCAAAAGATTGACCCATAGCTTGAAGCAAGAAACTTCTCCAATTCTGTAGTACCCCTCCTTGCCACAATATAGAAATGTCAAAACATAAACTTGAAACATACAGGTTGCAACATCAGAAAAAGGAGTCTACAAATCGGTAGCCTCTTCACATTGAGAAAGTTGTGTCGCCAAATACGGCACGCTCGATTCAGAAAGAGAGCCAACTGTCATTCTCACTTTCACCTCAGCCACGCTTACCGCATTTTGGACATTGAAAGCGACAAATGATAATGACTCAATCCAGGCAAGGCGCTTCCACAACCCTCAGCTGCTCGAACGAAAGTATCAGGGCAGGATCTGGAATTGAAACTAACAAACAAACACTGCCATAGCCAATACCAAAACACTAAGAAGCATTGCAATGGAACATCAACAAGCATGGCATGGTCCTGAGGTGAAACGGAAACAAGTCGCTATATTATATATCCCGATGCGAGTTGATGCCTGAACATGCCTAGGCTAGACAAATTCTTGTGCGCAAGTCCTAATCAATCAATGTCCACTCCATCCAACAGGTACATGGAGCCCCTCTTCGAGCTGGCTCGTTGCTGTTCAAATTTCTCCGAGATGCTCCGAAATGATTTTACCTCGAAGCTCACCATCCTCCGGTTCAGCTCGGGACGCCCTTCTGGCTGCGGACATGCCACACTTTACATAGGTGTTGTTCAGGACCTGCAATCGCTTGACGGTGCCTTCAATGGGTCAGTACCAGCAATCAAAGACCCCCCATTTGGCTCCACTCCTGGCAGAACTATATAAGACTGAGAGCGTCACTTGAATGTTGCAGGTCGCGCTTCCGACCGTGATGGTGGTGGCTGAGCCCAGCAGCTGCATCGCCGGAAGAGTCTCGGCCACCGAAAGTCGTCTCGGTCTCGAACTGTTGGGCACAAGCGCGGAGAGCTCAGTTTCACTCATGTGCTCGTCTATGCTCAGGCGCCTGGTTGTCACACAAGGGCAAGCGCACACGGGAATGTCTGTGTGCACCTTGGATTCAGAGGTTACCTTTTGGTATGTTTCCGAAGACATTTTTTTTGCAGGGGCGTAAGGCTCATCGTACCCACCGTACGCAACGAAGCTACGGTACGATGTGGGTTGGGTGGACAGGTTTCGCTGGTTGGGGCCCTCTGCACTACTTAGGCTTCCCTTAAACTACCAAGGTTGCCGCGTGGCATGTGGCTTTCAGATGCTTTCAGTTCGTACGTTCGCTTCCCGAGTGTGTGGGCTAATGGAAAAACCAGTTGAAAGTTTCTTCAGGATTACGATGCAACGCTGCAACGTGCAACATATGGTGGTTGATCAAAATTCCTTCTTGCTGGAGGGCCATTCTTCGCGATAAAAAATAACATTCGCGAATCTTTCGCGAACTCCATGTTTAACTTTCGCGGGGGGTATATCCTCTGGAAGTTGTCTTGGTTTAGTGGTTCTACATAGCAGCCTAAGCACTTCCATCAAGCACCATTTTGGAGCTGCAGACGAGGTTGAGGTGTTACAAGGCAGATTGGCGAGAACTCAATCACCACCATTGGATGAATCAGCAGAACTGGTGGAGGATGAGCTGGAAGAGCTATCAACGGTCGTTGCGCTCATGTCTTGCTAGCTTGGGCAGGGGTCCACAAACAAAACAAGCCTGCTTTCGCGGAACTTTCGCGAATCTTTCGCCAAGAAAATGTCGCGTCATTGGTGGGTTTCTAGGCGCACAGCGTAACAACCAGTGGCAGCAGCACGAGGAGGAGTAGTAAGAAGTGGTAGTGGTAGTGGCAGTAGCAGGAACAGCAGCAGGAGCAGGAGCAGGAGCAATAGTAGTAGTAGTAGTAGTAGTAGTTGTTGTTGTTGTTGTTGTTGTTGCTGCTCACACAGCACTATTGCAAATCACTGATGATAGTATCGCCTCTTCATGTATACAATATACATATGTGTATATATATAATAGAATAGACTGAAACTCTTTCGCAAATCTTTCGCCAGAAAAAACTAGACGACGGTTGGCCCGAGAGCGAGACATGTAATTGTCCAGCACTGTCGAAAAGATGTATAGAAAGAGAGAAAGAGAGGGTGGATGTGAAGGAGTGACAGTGTGATGCGCAGGTGCGATATAGATCTGTAGATGTATGGAGGTGGAGAGGTAGATCTGTGGATGTGAGCGTGCGAAGATGTAAATGCACAGAGACGAGAGAAAAGATATGTAGAAAGAAAGAAAGACAGGACAGATGTGAAGGAGCGACAGTGTGGATGTACAGATGTGATATAGATGTGCAGATGTGTGGGTGTAGTGAGGTGGAGAGGTAGATCTGCGGATGTGAGCGTGTGAAGATGTAAATGTAGAGAGGTGACGGGGTGTAGACGTAGGTGCGTCGATGCAACGGCAGTGCAACGTCAACCTTGTGCAAGCACAACTAGAACTGAAGAACGTGCATTTCACACTGAAGTCACTGAAGTTTCCACGGACAGGGCGACCTGAGAGTAAACGACGTCACGATCATGACAAGCGACTCGTGTATTCCAAACGAACATCGTTTGTCATGAAGGTGAAGTACACACATACTACTAACGTCACGATGACTCTTTTGTGGCAGCCACTTATGAGTAAGCAAAGTAGCTAAAATTTGTCAACCTCTCAAGAGAGCCGGGTGGTCGGGAAACATGACTCAGCTGCAGGGGCGCCAGAGCAGCCGCTAGACATAACTCAGCCGCGAGAGACGACTCATCCGCGTGTACTACAAAGTCGCCAGTTCTCAGCTTCCAGCTCCACAGCTTGCTCCGCGTACTACAGTTGTACTACAAAGTCGCCAGTTCTCATCT